GCCAACAAAATTAAAACTGTGGCCAGGGCTAATTTTACAGTTAAAACTTGTTAATCAATAAGAATTTAAATCGCAATTAGCAAACCAATAACAGCCTTGGATTGAACGGCACTGCTGTGGTATCTGACTCTGATTTAAAAAAACAATTACCTGAATGCTAATTTTCTAAATAGTTGCTTGTGTCGCGGTTTCATTATTTCATCAAAACCTAATTCAGTACTTTCTCAGCAGAGAGCGCTTTATGAAAGAGAGACTTACATGTGGTTTAATGTGACGCCTGGATATGGAACTTTTTCATAATTGAAATATGCGCCATAGCTAAGACCGTTTCGAAGAAAGGGGACTCCTGATTGAGGCGCCGTTGCAGGTAAATTCTGTGGAAAACAAATGTAAGCTATGATGAAGGAACCCATAGAGAGTCTGGAGTTGACTGTCGTCTGGGTTGTACAGCCATGTAGTCTGGTAGAAGTTTACCGACGTTTCGGAAGTTCTTGCTGTTTTCATCATCAGGGCGATGAGCGTCCACAGAATGTGTGACGAGACGTAAATTATTTGGTCGGAGGTGTAATTTATTATTTGTTCCCCATCCTGTTAACCTCAAAACTCAACGAAGTTATTGTCGTGCCCCGCCTGCGAGTGACATAGTAGGCCCCAGCTCAGACGGGAAAGTGTAACACTGTTGATACCTTTTCACTTAAATTGCAAACATGGAAGCCTGGTGTCGCCATCAGAGCACATTCCAGTGGACTGCTGGTGGTGAGAGTCGTCAGATAATCTACAGGATTAACGGTGCAACCTGGCAAAAACGTCCGGCGGCCATTGCTGTTTCGAGGGATCGTCGTCAAATCCCGACTTCAGCCGAACTGTGTTCGTGGAAGTTCGCACTTGTTCGTCGCGCAGTGTTGCAACCTCGTTTCCTGATGTTCATAGGCAAGAAGGCGAATTTCTGCAATATTTGCGAGAACTTGATTCTAGGCGTGCAGATGCTTTCCACAAGGCCACAGTTGCATAACATTATAACTTTTCGGAGGAATGTTGGTAACCGATCTGCATCAAAACCCTCTGTTCCGAAAATGGTTGAACGAAATCAGCAGGCACGTTTATTCGGCTGCGTAGAAACGAAGGTGCCCTCCATTGGACCAACTCCTTCATGCGTCATACACGCGGCTGAAGGTTTTTGCTACGCCCAAACAGTAATCGCCGATAGGAGAATCAGTCGTGCCACCCGAGAGCTTCGTGTTTCGACCGGATGTGTCGCTCCCCTCATTCTGCATCCGGCCGTCACAAATTCGTCCGGTTGCCTCGGTCTAATGAGCGAATCGATTGCCAGTGGAAATTGTTTCAGCTTTTGTGTTTGTGGCAGACTAAGACTCGCTGTGGCCGCCGCTTCGAATATTGCTCGTGGCAGAAACCACCGATCAATAGCCACGTGCTTTCGTGCTACGCAGAGAGGGTCTTCTATGAGTGTGAAACTTGGTCACTCATGTGAATGGAGTAACTTGAGGTTTTTAAGGTTGTCACATCGACGATTATGAAGATGGCTGTCTTCTGGGCTGTTGCGCCGTGTGGCCTAGTAGAATTTTAGCGACGTCTCATAGGTCCTTGCTGCCTCCATCATCAGGGCGATCGCCTTGAATACAGGGCGCAATAACCCGGAAGACCGCCATCTTCAGACTCACCGCCGTGAAAACCTCGAATCCTGCATGCTTTTTAGAATGTTCGGATTTAAGTAGCAGAAGGCTGGCATAATGAGGAGCTTAAAATTAATAATCTCCACCAAATACAAGTTTTATTAAATTTAGGAGGATGGGAGTATGGGAATGTAGCACGCATGGGAGATACTAGAAATACGTAACGTAGAAAACTATTTGAAAAGCTGTCGATGGATAATATTAAAATGTAAAACTTAAATAAATGTTGTGGATTGTTTCCGCTTGCCTCCGGTTTCTCTTCGTTAAAGGATTCCTGTGAATAGGATAACAGACGTCTGGCTTTCAAATTGACTACGGCGGTGCAGGTTAGGTTTAGAGCGGCTTAAATCTCGAATCTTGATGGAGCCCACAAACGCATGACACGTGTCCCCTGCAAGAAACTGAGTGAATATTATATCACGTTACTGCGTGCATTGTTTAATTGTGAACACTTTATAAGGGGCATGATCCCATAGTCACACACTGAAACAAAGCTGCCGAGGTAAAGGTGCTGATTTCACATTGAATGATTAAAACGTTTCACTAGACATTTTCGTATATTCAAACGACTGCCCGAAAATGTATATTCGCGTCGTTAAAACGTCTAAATAGTATTTAATAATTCAGTCTGTACCGCGAAGAAAACACAGCACTTCACCATTCTGAAGATTACATATTGTCAGCTTGCCACAGATATGACCATTAATTGTCAGAGCGTGTTGATAAGAGTACAGATGTTGATATTTTGTCCACGTAAGCGGGTTTTGATAAGGCTCGTCGCTTTCATCAGCCCCGATCTCCTG